AGGAGCGTCTCTGGACACATCAGTACAAGCAGGCCTTCATTAACTATGGTTCCCATGACAACCACGCCTGATGCTGGAGTACGGATTTGTCGCATCGGATAACCCCCACAGTGTCGTCTATGTGGATACAGGTGAACTTGGGCAAGAAACGGAAAATATGTTTGGCCTGTGAAGCAGCACAGAATAACATTATATATTAAGTAGTTGTACCTCTCTTGATACGGACTGGCTGTTAAAAAAGTGCTGAATTTAAATTTAATTTAGCATTCAAACAAAAGCAGTTGGAAACATTTGCTTAAATCCATTTTATTTATTTCAGTAAATTTGAAAATAAATGTTTGCAATATTTTTTTAAATGCCCCATTAATGTCAAATGCAAAAAAATAGCAAACCTTAAGATGAATCTTGTTACAGTGTTATTTGGAGTTACTTCAGTGTCTTTGTTTTCCCTCAGATCTCCTCTGTGAGTTTTAAAAGGCGACAGGAGTTTTGGATCAGAAGATCAGATTCCTCAGAGAAAACAATTTCCTTCAGTAAGACTTAACATTTGTTTATAGTCAATTTTCTTTTCATCTTATAAGATTCGTCTTTAACACTGGTTTTGCTGTACTTGATAATATTATAACTATAGTGTTAAAGGAACAACAAGGAGTTTTACAGGAGTCTTTATGTCCTCATAGCAACATCCAGTTAAATATCTGATTTGTGTCCATGTTATAAAAGTAAAAGAAGTAATTGTTTTCCTTGTTTTTCTTTCTCCCTGTCAGTAATCTCACTGTGTCCTGTGAAGGGCCCAGTTGGAGACTGATGACAGCTCTCAGACTCTTGTCCCTACCTCAAACACTTTAGTAAGGCTACACAAGTACACATGCGAACACACTACCTGCTTCTCCTACTTTTAAATCTTCCTGTGTGTCTTGAATAAAGCATGTGTTTGTCTCCGTAGTAACCAATGGAGGGCAGTGTTGCTCGGTCAGGCGGTATGTGAAGACAGAGAGCAGTGGAGCGTCCAGACAGCTATAACTCTCTGTCACAGACTGCTACAGGACACACACAAGGCTGTGGACAAGGTGTGTGTACCTGCGCACGCACGCACGCACACACACACACACACACTTTTCCAGTGATGCAGCACATGGCCTGATTTCCGTTCTTTATTTTCCTGTGTGTGTTCAGATCTCCTTCCTCCTCCAGCAGTGTGACCAGTCAACCAGGGAGCAGCTGGACGTGGTCCAGGCTCTGCGACAGGAGGAAAGATGCATCCTGGGAAGCTGTCTCGAGGCACTCAAAGGCACGCAAAGACAACCAGACAGGCTGCCAACCTGATGTTGACATTTGATCGGCGGTTTGGCCTACCAGTTGCTAGAAGGAGCAAGGTTATTGGCTGAACTTGTGATGCTGGATGGTCTCCATGTGTCTGCTCTGCTTGTAGACCAGTATTGCAAAAAAAAAGACAGCAGGTTTACATGATAGAAGATTACAGATTCTATCCAGTATGAAGTACTGCCCTGTTATCATGGCCATCAGAACCATAGACTGTAAAACAGACAGTCAGGTGGACCCTTAGTGGAGCTAAGTGAAGGTCAAAGACGCGGTGCTCTGAAATGACTGTCAACAAACTCTTTTTTTTTTAACCATTCTTGATTTAAGTAAGAATGTAAAAAAGAAGAGTAGAGAGGAATCAACACAAAACAATAGATACAGATCTGTTAGTGTGGACTGACACATCAGCCGTGTTGATTCTTTTTTCAGACTAAAAGCTAGTCTGGCTGGAACTGACTGACACACTGCAGTTCAGAAAAAATGAACATTACATTAAAAAATTCTTAAACGACAAGACAAGGTCTATTAAATATCATCTTTAATATATGACATAATAAATGTCAGCACCACTAATTTCCCACCTGATTAAAGATCCAAAACACACACCTGCCCTTTGTTGATTCAGTTTTCTTTATTGAAAGGATATTGAACATTAGAAAGGGTTAATGGTCTCCACGCATTTTCGTTTCATAATTGCTTTTCAATTAATTATTTGTCTTCTCTGTTGATAACACTCTACAGATAACACTCACCTTTCTGTGTGCTTTACATTAGCATTTTAGACATTTATTGTTCATCACAATGTAATAACTATAAAACTGTACTTTGTCTTACCTCTCATGTTGAGAGATGCTTTTAAACATTCTAGTTATTAAAAAGGACAATAACAACCTTTTAGAAAAGTTACAGTGTCATTTTTGGTTATCACAATTTAGAATGAGACATTAGACATCCATCAAGATGTGTAATGATTACCACAGCAAACGTTGCTGTTTTTGCCAATATTATAATGGGAATGATGTCAGAGGTGCTGCTTGTCAACAGGCAAGGCAGGCAACTGTTTGCCCCCCACCCCCAAGGTTGAAAAAAAACTTAAAACCACAACAGTACTGTCTCATTGCCCTGCTTAGCATCTCATTTATTACTCCTTCATTACAATTAAACCACTGAAGGAAATTAAGGAGGAATTATCTGTCTGGGAGTGAACAAAAAAAAAAAAAGAGGATCCAAACACTGGCAGACATAATGGTGGTTGGAGGGTCCCACAATTTAGTTTATGCCAAGGGCCCAAACAGACTCTAGAATCGCCACTGGGTGATGTTATAAAAATGTGTCTTTATTGACACAAAGGAGGCCTTGATATGGGTTGTAGACTTGGTGTATGAAACCTTTGTCCTGTCCTTTAAAAAGAATCCCACGTTAGGTCTATCATTTCAAACCTGTGTCAGAATCTGGTCAACATTTCCTCATATGAAGGACGTTTTTTTTTTTTTTTTTTTACAGTTTTAACAAAGATTTACATACATGAAACATGAAGTGAAGCCGGTCAAATAGGACTAAGACTCTGATCATTACTGTTAACGCAGACGTGTATTTGTCAGTGTTAACCCATGAAGGCTGCAGGTTGATGATGGTGTCGGTCTGAGCTCCATGTGATACATGCTGAAAAGTTTTCAGGTCTCTTTAAACGATCGATGAGTAGAAACATGGACATTTTGTGTTCTCCACTTTGTCTATATATATCTGGGGTTTTTTTTTTTTTGGTCAGAGTTGGACAACAGCCTTTTTTCTTCTGCTGACGCTGAACGGTCTCCATGGCAACTGTGGCTTCATAGAGAGGAACCGCCTCCTCAGGCTGAGGTCTGGAGAGAAAGATCATTGAAACCAAAAAGATAGATTCTGTCAATGTTCTTACATGACACTGTGCGCATGGTGTTACAAAACTGTGCGCTGTAACTGTTTATAAGAAATACTGAATTCAAATGTATGTTTCGCAAATTAAATGTCCTCTATTCATCCGTTACTTTTACTATAAATATTCTTATAACCATCAACGAATAAACAAAAACTCCTTCCCACTTCAGATTGAAGTTGACCGACATCTAAAGTCCTACTGAGTGTTGTTTGATGTGCGTGTGTTACCTGAGTACTCCAGTTGACATCTTCTCCACAATGTCCTTCAGAATATCTGACACGAGGCTGTTAAGGAGAAAATACGTGTGTATCTGTGTGTTATCGTGTGCATATGTTTAACATGACACACTGTGAGTACAGGATACGGAGGTATCTCCCTTGCTGAGCTGATGACATCGTCCAGACTTCAGAGTTGAGGAAAGTCACAGAGGCCGATTTTAAGTGCAGCAGTCTGCAATCTGGAGGATCCAACTGGAAGGAGAAGAGCAAAAGAGAAACCAAACTGGTGACAAAGCTTCCAATGAAGACAGACAGACTGAGCAGCTTCTTATTCACACTATTTTATTCAGACTGCATGATGCCACTTCTATTTCTGACACTGACTCACCTGCAGGTCTTTGTGGGACGTGACCCAGTGCCCCCCGACTCCCAGCACACTGATGATGTCATGCTTGTGTGGGAGGAGCTTCATCCCCTCCGAAGACTCCTCTTGGAGACGCACTGCAGACAAACATTCACATGTTAAGATGACAGCTTCACCTAGCAGTAGTAGTTATTGTATCTTCACTTCAATTCATATTCCTGAGTGCATGCTGACACATTTTCTAGTCTTAAAAGTTCTGAATTTTTTATAGAATAAATAAGCTAAAAAAAAAAATCATACACAGATTTAAGTATTTACCTCCTGAATCTATGATTATATCCACTCCCAGTCCTCCTGTCTCCTCCAAAACCACTGACAGCAGGTCTGATGAGTCCTTATACACTGGAATCACTTTAGCTGAACACACAAAGACACAGGTTTATAATAAACAACACAAACTGACAAATCTGCAAAACAAATACCAGCCTCAACACCTATTTAAAGCCACACTTAAATCTGCTTCACTCGAGAAGCTTGACGTGTGAGCTGTTGCATTCTCAATTTCTGTCCACATGGTGGCAGCAGATGTCAGCTCCTAGTGTTTTCACCACCACATCTTAGAAAACATGCTTAGAAAAGGTTTTTTTTTAATATTAGGTTAATAACTTAAAAAACACTCTGGGACTAGACGTGTAAAATAATATTAGCCAAACATTTTAAATGTATCTGTGGTGTTTTTTCGTACATTAGAATCATCCTGGCTGCGGAGGGACAAAAGAAACAAAAAGCCATAAACGTGTAATTCATAGAGAATGATCCAACAGCTAAGTACTGCAGGGATTAGTAAACCAGAAGAGGAGCAAGCATGCAAGTGATTTAGAAAGATAGAAAGGAAAGATTCTCACCGACCAAAGGGTCCTGAACACCTGAGGGAAAACATGGAAGGAAGACAGAAAGGAAAAACAGGTGAAGAAGACAGGAAACATAAGAGTCAAAGAAGTGAAAGAGAGCAGAAGAGCATGAAATGATTGGAGCTTAATTGCTGTGATTTGGCAGAAAAGGAATTCTGAAACATTTGACAGACACTCCATGAAAATTAGGCTTGAAACTTTATAATACAGTCGCTGTGAGGAATGTAAAAAAAAAAAGCCTGTGAAAGCAGAGGCTGCAGACCTCTCAGCTTTACACGCGGAACATACCTACGCTTGGCCGAAGCTGCTCCAGGAATGTGTGTGTTTGTGGTGTGTGTGATGTTGTCAGAACCTTCACTCCGTGGTAAGAAGCCAGCTGGACGCACATGAGGCCAAAAGACTTAAGAGGGGAGAGGAGGCGGGAACATTACACGTGTAAAAACAGCAGCCGAAACACTATTCTGTACGTCTTTATTAGGTACTTATAAAAGCAGAAAATTAAAGAAATATTATGGTTTGTACATACACTCGCTCCATCCATGACCAGGAGTGTGTGTCCGGCTGCCATGTGAGCATGCGTGTGTAGAGCAGTGTAAGCACAGAGGCCGTCACGCAGCCCTCCCGCTACACACACCGAGCTGAGCTTCTCTGGTTTCTGGACTGCAGAACAGAAACAAAAAAATACACAAATAAAATTCCCCTGTGTGTTTATTGGATGTGTTTGCAAAGGCTTAATGAGAGAGCTCATTGAAACTAAATAAGCACCAAACACCAAAAATAAATAATGGAATTTGCAGAGAAGATTTGGCAAGTTTTGCTTGGGCGCAACCCACATACTCAGCTCTGCTGCTTATCCCACGAATGCATATTCCTTACAAATGTGGCACCATTTGTAAGGCAAGATTTATTGTCAAGAAGCATTGTTACAATACAGAAATAATCTACCAAAGACAAATGTCCTTACTTTATGTGCGATGTTTAGATTCAGAGTAATATGACAAAAAAAATCTATTTTAAGGGGTGAACTCTACTTTGCTTCATTCTTTTAACCTCCACCTATAAAGACGGCATAGTCACGTCATGTTCTCTTTTCTTTTTGCAAGGGTTCCAAAATAAGTCAGACAGAAACTGCAGGGGAAAGATGAGGGCACTTAAGGTGCTGTTACGCTATTCTGCTCCTTCCAAACTGCCAGCACCACTTTATATTTTCAGGTTTTGAAGTATATCAGTTGAAGAAAGGTAGAGGAAAAAAACACAGTCAGTTCAGCGACCTGCTGTGTCTGCTGGCATTTAGGGCAGAGTGGAGAGCAGTTTGATCAATGAGATGTGACCTGGACTGCCTTTTCTGTGGGCTGACTTGTCAGATAGACACAGTGCAGTAGGATTATGTCAAATCAAAGGAATCAAGACAGAAGTGGGAAAACTGATTCACCAGAAAACCATAATACATGCGGGCTGACTGAGATATGTGTGTGTGTGTGTGTGTGTGTGTGTGTGTGTACAGTAAGTTACCTAATAAGTGTTCATCGATGTCAATGGTATCACAGAGTCCAGAGCAGGGAGAGTCTAGAGGCAGAATCCCTGAAAAGGAGACGGTTGCTATGAGACAGTCCTTTGAAGATACATAGTGCAACATGTGTTATGAGTAATGGCAACATAGAGAATATAAACACTAGTGTTGTTACACATATAAAGCATTTAAAAACCTTGTGGTAACAGCTCGTATGGGTTCTATTTGATTGTGTACAGGGAGGTTTTTTTGCCACTGAAAAGTGTTTAATAATGTGATACATTTGTCTTTATTTTACCTTACAGGGATCACAATACCTAAATGTTTTCTTGGTGCTGCTAGACAACATGTAGAGACAATTTAAAGCAGAAACTTTTTGTGTATGTGAGCATTAGGAGACTGAAGATAACGAAGGGGAACACTTCATTGAATAGGGGACATTTGGCTTGAATGTGATCGATGCATATAATTATTACCATCCAATGTTACTACATTGTGTCACTGGTGATGGTAGTGTTGGGTTTTTTCTTTCTTTTTATGTTTTCCACAACAGTTCTGAGACAACAAAAAAAAATAGCACTTGATTCAATACATCAAGTAAAAGAACAAAAACCTACCTATGACCTCATCATCAGTCTGGAAGAAAGAGACCTTGTCGCCCACTAAACAGAAGAACAGTTAGGATTTGTGTTAAAAGAAAGAATCAATCACAGCTGGCTCTCAATCCGATTTAGTATGATTCAGTGTTTAACCACTGAAAACTGTGTTTGTGACCTTGCAGAACGACCCCAGCTATCTCTCTGCCAACAGGAATTAAATCTCTGAGCATCCCCATGTCTCCAAGAAGCTGCAGCGTAAGAGAGAGGAGACGTCAGTGAACACTGCAGTCACACAAAGAGGTGATGTAATGGTACTTTATAATGTGATTAGAATTATATCTATGTCGTCACATAATAATATTGTTTAGGAAATAACTATAGAATGAAATTATGGACATTTTTTCTGCCATTGTAAGCTTTCTGATTAGCTTGTATTTCAATTTTTATTATTGGTTTGATGGCATTTCATACCCTTTGTGTCAGCGTCTATTCTACATCATCATCTGTGCTTTGTTTCTTGATATTATAGTTACATAATAATAAAGTGTTATATATTCAATTATTCAGAGGGTCCTCCTATTGCACATCGCACATACTGCACAAGTTCACTTTTTCTTTAAATTTTATTGTATTTGATTTACTACCTTTTGCACAATTTAGAATTTATACCTTTTGCACAATTTAGAATTTACTACTGTAAATATTATTTATCTTATTTTTACCTTATCTTATTTTACCTTATTGGTTGTATTGCACCGCGGGACAGAGACAAACGGAATTTCGATTCCACTGTATGTCTGGCATATTTTGAAATTGACAATAAAGTTGACTTTGACTTTGATTGGATCCTGTACATGACTTGATAGATTGACAGGTTAGTCTTCAATATTGGCAACTGATTCAAAAAAACAAAAAACCTAATTTCTAGAATTTCTATTCTATTTCCCTGAACTGCAGCTTACTGTCCGACTATCTGACCATTATTAACTTCGGTTTCAGTACCTTGAGATCCAGAGGGCTGAGTCCACATGCTTTTACCTGAACTCGCACCTGATGGCTGCCTAAGGCCTCCGGAAGCTTCTAGAAAGAAACAATTCAAAAACACTGTGAGAACAAAAATCAACATTTTTTTTAAAAACGTTATTAAAAAATGAATAATCCAGAGACATACTCATAAAGCTCAAAACATTATTCTAAATCTTTTTGATGGTAAAAAAAAAAAAAAACGCTGGGGGGGGGGTTTGTCATCTGAAGATTGTATTTCCCAAATCAACTGATGAAACTTAAGTGTATTATATTGAGCTCATTGTGAATTAAATGCGTAAAAAAGTGTCATTTTCTGAGTGAATTACAACAGAGTTAGTAAAGAAAACCAACAGCTGGCAATTGTAGTTAAAGGCAACACAATTTTTCTGGATGCCTTCTTTTTTTTTTCTTTTTTTTTTAATCTCTTCTTAGAAAAATCCTTCTGGCAGTAACAACCCAGTGAAACCATATAAGAGAATACAGGTGTTCTTGTTTTTGTATGTGTAAGAGGCTTTGAGAATGAAATGAAGTGTCTGAAGATGTGTGAAGATGCTGGACAATTCTCTTCTCTGTTCCGTACAATGATGTCTGCAGATGGAGCAACTGCACAGAACAGTCTGCCTTCACCTATTTCAATCTGATGCCGTGAAACTACTGACAGACTACAGTCAAGGTAGAATAGTATCCACCTTTAACCTGCAGAAAGACCCCAAAACACAACACACTCACCGTGTCCTGAATCACGAACTCGGGCTCAGCATCACTCGCACTAGCTCGGCAGTACAAACCTTTCATTCTGATATAGATTTACTTCATGTGCAGAGATGTATCTGAAATATCACAGACTGTTGAGCTTACACTTCACAGTTATTCAATTCATTCGTCCCAGTATTTATTTCTACAGCTACTACTAGCTTAAGTCAGCTGATCTTCTTCTTCTTCGCTGTTTTGAAATGTATCTTGTGTTATTGAAGTTATCACAACACCGCCCCCTATTGGATGTTTTTAATTAACATCTCTTATTAGTCCTTTATTTCTTTATTTCTTTATTTGTATTGTAATACATACGCATATTAGACATATAACAGAGACAAATATTATATATAATTGAATCAATATTTAATCATTGCATGGGACAGACATCAACTAAACAACGGTACATTGCCGAGGAGGGAGGCAGAGATAACTTTAAAAACAAGGCACAGAAGTTAGATTTAAATAAATACTAACACTGTGTCCATATGAACATACAGACATATACATATTCTACATTAATACACCAATATATACACATGCACAAATATATACAGTATACTATGTACACATGTAGGCTACAGATAAAAGTTACCATCAAAGTGTCACAGTCACTCAAGTTGGGACTTCCTGCAAAGCCACAGAGTTTGAGTATACAGGCATTGTTTTCATAGCTTTCGAGTTCTCTGAGGGTTTAATGGAGTCCATTTAGTTACTGAGTTCTATCATGAACACAAAAAGAGCGGCTTTTAGAAATTTTCATTTTACTTTTGTGGATATGAAATTTTGCCAGTCAAAAGAAAAGATTACTTAAAAAGAATGTCTCTTTGTCCTGTGTCCTTAAATTGAAAAAAATAAAATAAAAAAATAACATCTTCAAAGAAAAAGGAAAAGACATTGATCAGATATATGTGGAGGAAGTTTAACAAATGAGACCAACACGTTTCTGTAAAAGAACATTTCTAAAAAAAGATTTCAAAGAGTTTTAGTTGAGCTATGCAGATTTATTGATTTTTTACATCTCTAGTAATAAAAGTAAGCCTCAGCAGTCAGTTTTCGTCGTAGCTTGTTGTCAGGTTGGTGTACCTGTCATGAGCCTTCTAAAGACAAAGTAACCCTTCATAAACAAACTAAAATGAAGAACTTGTATGTATAGCTTACTGACAGTCACACTTAAACTGTAACAATTCCAAAATTGAAATAAAAGAAATATTTTAAAACATATTTCTAATTCTCACAAACAACCCTACATCAGTTTATCTTTGTTTGCCATCCTGTGAGCAACACCACTGTCAAAATAGTGATGAGGGTTATACACTTCAAATAGTTCCTTCATGCTTATGCAGTCTTACAGATTTTACTATTTTGATAGCATTTCGTTATTATAATTGCAACCCTGAATTTTCTGTTTTCATTTTTAACATGACCTTTTTTTTTCTCCAAAATATAATATATTTCATGCATAATTGTAGTTGCTTACTTCACCAAACAAAGTCTGATAGACTGGCAAGTTAGTCATGTTAAATCTCATTTTGAAAAGTTCATTTTGAATACATTTTCAAATGTGTTTTTCTTTCTCTAATAAACAGCAGCCGGTGGGAGCGCATCTAATCCTTTAACTCACAGCGTCCCTGTCATCCCTGCAAGCTCACGGCTGGTGCAAGTCTCGCGAGGTTGTGAAGATGTCATATAAAAAAAAAAAAATACATTGACATCTCGCGATAGCTCAGTAACGTTACCCCATTTTCCAGCTGTCCCTCAGTCGGTCGGGATTTCGGAACCACGGGAGAATCGCCGGAAAGGGCTTTGGTGATAAAAAAAAAAAGCACCCTTTTGGAGTATACACCATACTGAATGCGGTTATAAACACACAACGAGCTACCTTCTCCCGTATTCACGATGGAAACTGAACTATGAGGTAAGGCAGAGTGTAGTATGTGTGGTGTGAAAGAATGTCCCTGAGCGGGCTGACGAGCTGACGTTAGCTTCTCATTGGTTAGCCTGCCTGCTAGCTGCTTTGATTATATACATTAACGCGGCTTGTTGCTCATTCTGAACCGATGAAGCTTGCTTGCGTCTGCCTCTTAGTCTCATCTGAGCCTGCCTGGGATGGTGGCCTTTACACCAAAGACCAGGGCGGCGTGTTACTGGGTGAGGATGAAATCCAGCGGCTGGTATCAGCTAGCCAGTATGCTAATGTTAAATCACTGCATCTGCCCTGCCTGCCTGTGACCTGACGGTAACAGTGTCTGCTGACGCCTGTGGTTAACCTTGCCTGGCTGGTGTCCGGGTCGGTAGACAAGAAGAAGAAGATGATGATGAATCTACAAGGTTGATGAAAGCGCTATAGGGCAGAGAGCGATTTTGGAGGTGGAGGTTGTTCCCATTAAGACAAGCTGACATTAATCCTGATGTTAGTCGCTGCTGCTCACCTTGCTAAAGTGTCCAGCCAAAACAAACCTCAAGAGTATCACCTGCTCGAAACCTTTACAGTGTTGAGCAACTCATAGGCAAGTGCATTGAAATACTGCAGGAAGTGATGCTGACTTGACAAACAGACCTTTCCTGTCCAGAGAAGAGGGCACGCTTGGCTTGTGTTAAAGGATGTGTAACTTTCTTATTTTGAATGGTGAAACCTGCCAAGCTCTATCAGTAAGGACTAGTTCCCATGGTAACACGGACGCTGACAGAGTTGGTAATCGATGTCTGGCGGGTTAAAGTGTAAACAGCAATGCGTTTTGT